AACAAAACATAAATATCCTAACTGAAAAACAAGCCAAACAATGAATAAGCATCTCATAGAAGAAAAAGCTAATGGACATTCAGGATCCTGCATCTCATCAGTAAGGTGTGGGAAGTCCTCCACCCTCCGGAGGGGCGGAGAGTTCAGTCTGGTGATATCAATGGTGATGAAGCTATGGGACATGAATTGAGCGTAAAATGGTATCACTATTTAAAAACAGCTCAGCATTGTCTATGTACCTTATGAACTATCCTCTTCACTCCTGGGAACATATCCTGGGAAAACTCTTATACATGTACAGCAGGAGACATGTTCAAGAAATTTCATAGCATTGCTGCAATAGTAAGAAAAATAAAGTAGTAATAATCTAAATGCCCATGCATAATGGAAAAGATATGTAACCTATACAGTACAATACATATAGAAGTGAAAATATTTGAATACAGCTAGATGTACCATTGTGGATGGATCTTAAATCATGATGTGGGATAAAAAAGCAAATTAAAGAAAAGAAAATGCAATATGCATGAAGCTACATATACACAGGTGGCTAAAAGGTGACAAGGAGATGATTGTTATTACATCAAGGTGTGCTTCCTCTTGGAGGGCAGGGTAGAGGGATGCGATGGGTGGGGCATGAAGGGGGCCACAAAGGTGTAATAGCCTTTTATCAAACCAGGCAGTAGACACACTCTTCTTTATGCACATGTTTTGTATGTATGATGGCTTAGAATTTTACAAAAGATAGCATCAGGTGGGCAGGAAACCATAAAAATCTGTTTCGATGTCTGAGTTAAAGCGAGCATTTTGGTTAAGACAAAGGGAGAAGGTCAGAATCTGATCTGTGCTTTGTTGACTTCATGACCAACCGTTTTCAATCTCTTTGTCAGCAGACACCTGAACTTCCTGGTGGGCATGGGAGAGGGTGTGGAGGTCTGATTCCAGAGATGAAATGCTTCAAATGTAAATCCTCACTGGAAGGCATTCCCGCAGATGTGAGATCAGGCAGCAGGTGGACACAATGATCCTCAACCTTCCCTGCTTTGTTAGGAGAGGGAAGAGGCTTGGACAGCATTGCTTAACTGAACGGGAAGAGAGCAGGTGTTATGCCCACTTGGAGAGACAGAGCACAGAAGTTGATAATTTTACCCCACTAGCGCAGGGCCAGCCTTTTTAGACTTCACTTGTTAACGAAGGATGTGGACAGGACACTTTCATCATGCTGAGGCTCTCAAGCAGCTTGATTTTGAAGGGTTTATTTTCAGATGGTTTGGTTTTGAGAAGGTGGCAGAAATCCTGTGAAAGTCTTTGCCTCCTGGAGGTGTTGTAGAGGCTGGCAGAGAAAGTGAGTGAACCCTATGTGAGGTGTAGACCCTGGCACTGTGTGGTACAGAATTTATTCCCTACTCTCAGAGTTTATAGTGGATCCTACCAGCTGGTCACCTGCTTTCTCCCTCCACCGTAGTTAAAAAACAGAATCAGGAAGTGAAGCAATGGTAGCTGCAAACTTTTTAACAAAGGAGTTTTGTTTGTTGAATGATGATGGTAAAGGACAGTTCCAATGCTTATCTTAAGTCATTAAAATGGTCACTGTATTTACTATAGTGCTTTTTCTTAGAAAAGAACAAGAGTATAATTTTTTAGGGAAAATTCCATCAAGAATAGCTGTATTTTTTTTATTAAGGTAGTACTGATATACAATCTTATGAAGGTGTCACATGAACAACACTGTTGTTTCAACATTCACCCATATTATCAAGTCCCCCCTCCCCACACCCCATTGCAGTCTCACTCCATCAGCTTAGTAAGATGCTCTAGAGTCATTAACTATCTTTTCCATGCTATACTGCCTTCCCTGTGACCTACCTATATTATGTGTGCCAATCATAATGCTCCTTAATCCCCTTCTCCCTCCCTCCCTCTCCACCCACTTCCCTTTGTTAACTGCTAGTCCCCTCTTGGAGCCTGTGAGTCGGCTGATGTTTTGTACCTTCAGTTTGGCTTTGCTGTTATACTCCAGAAATGAGTGAAATCATTTGGTACTTGTCTTTCTCCTGAAAGTACTAGCTTATTTCACTGAGCATAATACCCTCTAGCTCCATCCATATTGTTGCAAATGGTAGGATTTGTTTTCTTCTTATGGCTGAATAATACTCCATTGTGTATATGTACCACCTCTTCTTTATCCATTCATCTACTGATGGACACTTAGGTTGCTTCCATTTCTTGGCTACTGTAAATAGTGCAGCAATAAACTTAGGGGTGCATATGTCTTTTTCAAACTGGGCTCCTGCATTCTTAGGGTAAATTCCAGGGAGTGAAATTCCTAGGTCAAATGGTATTTCTATTTTTAGTTTTTTGAGGAACCTTCATACTGCTTTCCACAATAGTTGAACTAATTTACATTCCCACCAGCAGTGTAGGAGGGTTCCCTTTCTCCACATCTTCACCAACATTTGTTGTTTGTCTTTTAGATGTTGGCCATCCTAACTGGTGTGAAGTGATATCTCATTGTGGTTTTAATTTTCATTTCTCTGATGATTAGTGATGTGGAGCATCTTTTCATGTGCCTGTTGGCCATCTGAATTTCTTCTTTGAAGAAGTGTCTGTTCAGATCCTCTGCCCATTTTTTAATAGGATTATTTGCTTTTTGTTTGTTGAGGTGCAGGAGCTCTTTGTATATTTTGGATGTCAACCCCTTATCAGATATGTCATTTATGAATATGTTCTCACATACAGAATATGTCTGTAGCATGCCTTTTTGTTCTACTGGTGGTGTTCTTTGCTGTACAGAAGCTTTTTAATTTGATATAGTCCCACGTGTTCATCTTTGCTTTTGTTTTCCTTGCCTGGGGAGATATATTCATGAAGAAGTTGCTCATGTTTATATTCAAGAGAGTTTTACCTATGTTTTGTTCTAAGAGTTTTATAGTTTCATGACTTACATTCAGGTCTTTGATCCATTTCGAGTTTACTTTTGTGTATGGAGTTAGACAGTAATCCAGTTTCATTCTCTTGCATGTAGCTGTCCAGTTTTGTCAACACCAGCTGTTAAAGAGGCTGTCATTTCCCCATTGTGTATCCTTGGCTCCTTTATAATAAATTAATTGACCATAAATGCTTGGATTAATATCTGGACTCTCTATTCTGTTCCACTGGTCTATGGGTCTGTTCTGTGCCAGTACCAAATTTTCTTGATTACTGTGGCTTTGTAGTAGAGCTTGAAGTTGGGGAGTGAGATCCTACCTGTTTTATTCTTCCTTCTCAGGATTGCTTTGGCTATTCGGGGTCTTTTATGGTTCCATATGCATTTTAGGACCATTTGTTCTAGTTTGTTGAATATTACTGTCAGTATTTTGATAGGGATTGCATTGAATCTGTAGATTGCTTTGGGCAGGATGGCCATTTTGACAATAGTAATTCTTCCTACCCATGAGCATGGGATAAATTTCCATTTATTAATGTCCTCTTTAATTTCTCTTAAGAGTGTCTTGTAGTTTTCAGAGTATAGGTCTTTCATTTCCTTGGTTAGGTTTATTCCTAGGTATTTTATTCTTTTTGATGCAATTGTGAATGTAATTGTTTTCCTGATTTCTCTTTCTGCTAGTTCTTCATTAGTGTATACGAATGCAACAGGTTTCTGTGTATTTATTTTGTATCTGCAACTTTGCTGAATTCAGATATTAGATCTAGTAGTTTTGGAGTGGATTCTTTAGGGTTTTTTATGTACAATATCATGTTATCTGCGAACAGTGATGGTTTGGCTTCTTCCGTACCAATCTGGATGCCTTTTATTTCTTTGTGTTGTCTGATTGCCGTGGCTGGGATCTCCAGTACTATGTTGAATGAAAGTGGGGAGAGTTGGCATCCTTGTCTTGTTCCTGATCTTAGGGGAAAAGCTCTCAGCTTCTTGCTGTTAAGTATAATGTTGCCTGTGGGTTTGTCATATATGGCCTTTATTATGTTGAGGTACTTGCCCTCTATACCCATTTTGTTGAGAGTTTTTATCATGAATGGATGTTGAATTTTGTCAAGTGCTTTTCAGCATCTATGGAGATGATCATGTCATTTTTTTCCTCCTTTGTGTTGATGTGGTGGATGATGTTGATGGACTTTCGGATGTTGTACCATCCTTGCATCCCTGGGATGAATCCCACTTGATCATGGTATATGATCCTTTTGATATACTTTTGAATTCGGTTTGCTAATATTGTATTCAGTATTTTTGCATCTACATTCATCAGGGATATTGGTGTGTAATTTTCTTTTTTGGTGGGGTCTTTGCCTGGTTTTGGTATTAGGGTGATGTTGGCTCCATAGAATGAGTTTGGAAGTGTTCCCTCCTCTTCTATTTTTTGTTAAACTTTAAGGAGAATGGGTGTTATGTCTTCTCTATATGTCTGATAAAATTCAGTGGTGAATCCTTCTGGTCCAGGGGTTTTGTTCTTGGGTAGTTTTTTGATTACTGATTCAATTGTATTGCTGGTAATTGGTCTGTTCATATTCTCTGCTTCTTCCTGGGTCAGTCTTGGAAGGTTGTATTTTTCTAGAAAGTTGTCCATTTCTTCTAGGTTATCCAGTTTGTTAGTATATAGTTTTTCATAGTACTCTCTAATAATTCTTTGTATATCTGTGATGTCTGTAGTGATTTTTCCTTTCCTGTTTCTGATTCTGTTGATGTGTGTAGATTCTCCTTTTTTCTTAATAAGTCTGGCTAGGGATTTATCTATTTTGTTTATTTTCTCAAAGAACCAGTTCTTGGTTTCATTAATTTTTTCTATTATTTTATTCTTCTCAATTTTATTTATTTCCTCTATGATCTTTATTATGTCCCTCCTTCTGCTGACTTTAGGCCTCATTTATTCTTCTTTTTACAGTTTCAATAATTGTGAATTTAAACTGTACATTTGAGATTGTTCTCCCTTCTTTAAATAGGACTGGATTGCTATATACTTTCTTCTTAGAAATGCCTTTGCTGTGTCCCACAGAAGTTGGGGTGTTGTGCTGTTATTTTCATTTGTCTCCATATATTGCTTGATCTCTGTTTGAATTTGGTCATTGATTCATTTAGAAGCATGTTGTTAAGCCTCCATGTATTTGTGTGCCTTTTTGGTTTTTTTTGTTCAATTTATTTCTAGTTTTATATATTTGTTATCTGAGAAGTTGACTGGTACAATTTCAATTTTTTTGAATTTGCTAGGGTTATTTTTTGGCCTAGTATGTGGTCTATTCTGGAAAATGTTCCATGTGCACTTGAGAAGAATATGTATCCTGCTGCTTTTGAGTGCAATGTTCTATAGATGTCTGTTAGGTACATCTGTTCTAGTGTGTTGTTCAGTGCCTCTGTGTCCTTCTTTTCTGTCTGGTTGATATGTCCTTTGGAGTGAGTGGTGTGTTGAAGTCTCCTAAAATGAATGCATTGCATTCTATTTCCTCCTTTAATTCTGTTAGTATTATTTTCACATATGTAGGTGCTCCTGTGTTGGGTGCATAGATATTTACAATGGTTACATCCTCTTGTTAGACTGACCCCTTTATCATTATGCAATGTCCTTCTTTGTCTCTTGTTATTTTCTTTGTTTTGAAGTCTATTTTGTCTAACACAGTACTGCAACATCTGCTTTTTTCTCCCTATTGTTTGCATGAAATATCTTTTTCTATCCTTTTGCTTTTAGTCTTCTTTATATGTTTTGAATGTTATCCCCTTATCAGATGAGTCATTTATGAACATATTCTCCCATACTGTAGGATGCCTTTTTGTTCTGCTGATGGTGTCCTTTGCTGTACAGAAGCTTTTTAGTTTCATGTAGTCCTATTTGTTCATTTTTGCTTTTGTTGCCCTTGCCCAAGGAGATGTGTTCATGAAAAAGTTGCTCCTGTTTATATTCAAGAGATTTTTGCCAATGTTTTCTTCTATAAGTTTTATGGGTAATCTTTTAGGGTGCTCCTTCCTCAGAGTCAAAGGGGTCATATTTATGAAATTTGCTGTGTAATCATTTATTCTCCATGTTAAAGAACACTGCAGTGTCATGTGAGCGTGGCTGTCTTTCTTCACAGTGTTTTGAAGAAGTATGACGAAAGTGGCAAGCTCATCTTTAACGATGTTGATCTGTGTGACTGTCTGGAGAAAAACTGCCTGGGCTGCTTCTACCCCTGCCCCAAGTGCAACTCCAACAAATGTGGTCCCGAGTGCCGCTGCAGCCGGCAGTGGGTCTACGATGCCATAGTCACCGAGTCCGGAGAGGTCATCAGCACACTGCCTTTTGATGTTCCTGACTAGATGTTACATGGGGGATGATTTGTTTCTTTCTGTCATTTAAGCCAACCTCATTCTCTTGGGCGAATTTTAGGGCTTGGGGAAAACGTTGGAAAAACAGACTTCAGACTAGTGTTCTCTGAAGCCATAGAACCATGTAGAGCAGACAGTCATTCTATAACATTCTTATTTCTTCTTCCCATATTCCTTTACTTGTAACCAAAGAATTTGACAGCAGATGGATACCAGCACCTCACTGACACCTGCATCTCAACTCTGCTCTCAAATTAAAAATCTTTCCTCTTTGCTAGTACCTGAGAAAACGTAGTTTTTTAGAATTCTGAAACTGAGAGCCTTTCTTACATGGAACATAGAATCATAAATTTGTAATATAGTTACCTTACCCTTAGAATCTTACACATCACTAATTCTAAATCGGGAGTTTTAGATTAAAAAAAAAACCCAAACCTTGTGACTTTGAACTGTATACTCATAGTCTTTTTTTTACTGTTAATGTTTTAATATAATTTAACTGGTAATACTTAGAAATATTTTTATTAAAAATTTGCATTTTACTTGTAAAATTGAGAAATGAGGACTTGAATTCCTAAAAGCCAGTGGTTCAGTTTTCTCATTGCAGGATCAGTATTTTAGAATTTTTTTTGGGAGAATAAAAGTTAAATTGTTATATAAAGACATGTTGTTATATGTGTGCTAATTGGATATATTGACATGCCATTGACTAGATACATGATGTGTTTTTTTTTAGCTCTGATACATTCATAGGCACTTCATAGGAACTTAAACATGGCCTTCTTGGAATTTGTTTTTTTAACAGTGTTCTGTTTGCTCTAAATAAGCAGCTCCCACACTTCAGTGCACATCAGAATCACAAGGGAGACTTGTTACATCATAGATTTTGCTGCCCCTGTGCCCAGAGCTCCAGATTTCTGAGGTCGGGGGCAAGGCTCAAGAATTTGCATTCCCCAAGGAATGATGCTGGTGGGGGGCCCACACTTTGAAAACCATTTCTTTAAGTTATGGTTTTAAGTTAAATATGGAGTTGTTTAAATAGAGTCATTTATACATTTTTATAAAAAGATTAATAAGAGCATTTGATTTTAAAGCAAACTTAGTGTTAGTTTTCAGGGTTTATTTTTCCTTCATAACCAGTTTCAAAAACACTTATTTCTGCACGCTGCACATGTGCCATGGAAGGTTCACGATAATTCTGCACTTGTTACTTGACGGTATGTTTTCAGACTAAACAAAACTTGTGGAAGCCATGGTGTGCCTGCAGGATTCCTGTATGTGTAGCAGGAGAACTTACTCTGTTTTCCACAGAATTTGAGTTTTTCAGATTCAACTCACTCTGAGTCTCTACTGTGAGCCAAACATTGTGCTAAGTGCTTCTACTGCCTTACCTGTAACCATGTCAGCCTTATGAGGAAGATGGGAAATCAAATCGCCTGAGCCAGAGCCTTTGAAAGGCTCCAGAGGAACGAAGAACGTGCCAGCCAAACAGAGTGAGGGGCCCTCTTTTGGTTTATATCTTGTTTTGAGAATAATTGTTATTTTGTAGATGGCTACCAAATGAATTTTGTGTTACTTATTATAGAGTCATATGATTTTAAATTTGAAAAGGAATCATACAAGTCGCAGCTAGTGAGTTAGTCAACAAATAATAACCAAGAGGCACCAGGCTAGACACAGGGGATAGAACTGTGGGCAAAACTCAGCTGGCTTCTGTCTTCACGAAGTTTACAGACTAAAACCTGCCTTGATGTTGCTGTTTTCACTCTCACAGAGGAGGAAATTTAGACCCGGTAAGAAAAAAATGACTCAGTTAAGGACACACCGAAGAGCTGGCAACCTTGGTATTGTGAGCCTAAGACTACATCAGTGTTCTTTCCATGGCATCAAGTATTTCCCTAATCTGCCTGATTATGAAACTCATTCAGGTGCTTTTAATAAATACACCTTCCTGCTCACCATCCCAAACCTGAGGAATCAGAACCTCTATGGATGAGGTCTGGAAATTCATACTTCTAAACAAGCACCCCAGGTAAGTCTGATCAGGAAAGTTTGAAAAACTGCCTGATCACCGGTTGGTTATTAAAAAAACAATCTCAGGCAAATTAACATTAAAGTATCTCCATCTTTTATCTCCTCTTGTCATTCAGCCTTAACCATTAGACCAGATAATCTGGTTTAAAATTATCTGGTTTTAAAGGTGTGTTGGAAAATTGTGTTGGTAAGTGTTCCAAGTAAAGCAAAAGAATAAAACAAAGTTTAAAAATGTGTAATTACCAAGCAGATACCTCGTACTGCTTTTATGGAAAACTGGTAACATATTTGATGAAGTGCCTCTTTAGCAATCAGTTTATTTCATCTTGATCTAATGCTAATTCCATCATTTTTTAAAAAGTCTCCTGAACTGAAGGATTCTTGCGAAAATAAATTTATGTGAATTGTCAGAAACTTATTTTGCAAGTGTCTAATTTTATCACAAAGTGAACAATGCTCTTCAGTTATTTGAATTAAATTCAGATGGACAAAGAATCTAGCTGTATTTTCTGGTTACATTAAGGAATGTCTTGTCAGTGTAATAGGGTTTTTCTCTTTCTGCTTGGCTGTTTGTCAATGCTGAGGGTGTGTCTTCATGAATATGTAATGTACAGGGAAATCTATTTCACTGGAGGTTGTTTAAACATAAACTGTTACATCCTGAAGGATTTAAGCAAGTCACCTTGTACCCATATGCAATGGTTTGCAACCAGAATGCCATATCCCATCAGTTTGTGGAATAACTTTATCATAAAGTCTAATTTGTAAGAGTTAAAGAATATCCTTAGTGTCTGAGATCCTTCCACACCTCCACTTCCTCCCATCCTGCAGTATCCTGGATCCATGGCAGACAAGCCTTGGGATGCTAACTCACGGAAAAATCACTTAACCTCTCTTTTAGATATTTATCTGCTTTTCTAGAAAGTGAACAATGCTGACTTCAATATTCTGGGGCTATCACAGAGTGTATTTCTATGATGCTTTGGAAATGTAAACATGTATGTGAGCAGCCTGCAGTGTTTGGTCATGCAGGCTGTCTGCTGCGTGTGCACAGGTCCATGCCTTTCACATGGACAACACTGCCACAACAACCCCAGAGCTGTAGGCAAAATGGCCCTGCCATCAAGTGCCATTTAATGTGTGGATTTCTTGTCTAGTGTTTACTGACAGCATGTGCTAGACCTTGAGTGCCTTAGATTAGTTCATAGCCTTATATAAATGAAAAGAAAATCCTTATATATTGTCTCTTTTTTCCTCCTTTTTTCTTTTCCCTCATTCTCCATGGTGTCTATCCCAGCAGTAGACAGTTTTCAGGTTATTTATAACATTGGTCCATATATATGATCTAGCCTAAGCAGTTTTCAGAATATTTCTTTGTAAGAATCTGTATTTTAATCTAAATTTTTATTTAATATGAATACTTTTTTCATATTCCCAGATTTCCCCAAATTCTGCTTTTTCCACAGTATTTTCCTTCACTCTGCAGAAAGGAAATGACTCATCATTGCTCTCCATGTGTAAAAAGCAGTTTATTTTCTGTTTGTAGTTTGAACAGATTTCCCCCCTCACTTTGTGCGGTTGTCTGTGTTCTTTCTCAATTGGCCAAGGCTCAGGTCAGGTCTCAGCAATTCAAAGAGCTCAGGGTTGGAGTTTGTTTTTCTTTCAATAGTACATTCAGTTGCCTTGCAGGATAGCTAACACTACTTAGGGACCACTCATTCATTCACTCATTCACTTATTCATTCATGCATTTTCACCAAGCACCTCTTGCTGGACTTATGGTTCCTTATGAGGTGCTAAAAATACAATGTGTAAAGAAAACAAAACAAAAAATAGCCTGGGATATAGGAAAGAAAAAGAAAACTCGGGCCATTTATGGCTGTGTCATTCCTTGTGTCTAAGGTCCCTACCTAGACAGCCTTCTCTGCACCTTGCAGAGTTGCCTGATGCTTGTTTTATGTATCATATCCAGCCTTTTTAGTGTACTTACAAGATGAATAGAAAAAGGTACCCCTTTCCCATCTTTCTAGAGGTGCAAGACCCTTTTCGGTTTAGATTATCTAGGTAGTGCTAGCCTCACAAAAGGAATTGGGGACTACTTCCTCTTTTTTTGCCTCTGGAAGGCTTTATTTCAGATGACATTTTTCTTCCTAAAATTTTTGTTGGAACTTGGCAATGAAGTCATTTGGTCCTGAGATGGCGGTGGTGGTTCCTTTTATACACCCCCACCTACACACACACAGTTCATTAAAAGTTCTAGTCTGTTTTCTTCTATTTAACACCAATTTAGGAAAGTAATGTTTTTCCAAGGATTATCCATTTTTTTCCTAAATTTTCAAATTTGTGAACCAAAGTTGTGCAAAATTGTCTCGCCAGTGGGTTTCAGCCCCAGACAAGTTCAGTGTGGATTCAATGAAACTGAAAAATGAATGTAACATTCTTGGGGTGAAAGGGTTTATACCCAACTTTATTCCCACGGTGGCAGGTCAATCACCAGAATCCCGTCCACTCAGAGCAAGTCTGCATGCAGCAAGCTGGTCCCTGCCTCTGGGCCTCTCTGTCTGCACAGCCATCTCAGTCTCTGTCCTCGGCGCAGCCACCACTCCAGCCTCTGCTCTGCTCTCCTGCAGCCTTGCAGCCCCGCCACGGTGTTACCCAGAGCACTGGGAGGAGCTCTTTATATAGGGTCAAAAACAACATATTGGCCACACGTGTGTAGTGAGCAAGCCGATCAGGGCCTGGTGAGAATTCTGGCCATAGGAACCTTCACTTTCTCCACAAAAATACACTTCTTATCACTTTTAATTGTAAAATATCTTCCCCAAATTTTTAATTGTAAACTAAAAAGATAGTTACAAATCAGTGTCCTTTCAATAAATTCCTCACCCCCCTTGTTAGTCCAAGTTGGATTCCCTTGGATATAAACAAAACACCGCCACTAACCCAGGTATCATCCAGAAAATGGAGAAACAGTTATATTTAGTTGCAGAAAATTCCCTTTCAACAAACTATCACAAGAAATGTGTTCCTTCTCTTCGTAATCTATACCTAAAGGCCTGATTTTAGAGGTTTAAGCTACAGGCCTCTAGCTTCTTTTCAATTTCAACACACCTGCAACCAGTATGAACCAGTATGCTCCCTACAGGGGTAACTGGGAAAGTGTTGAATCAGCTCATAGAATGTGTCAACTGCAATAGAAACATATTACCTAGTTTTGGGGATTTACTACAGACAAGTCCCACAGAAAGAGACAGAGGAAGTGGGGGTGGGGAGAGATTTTTGGAACTGCTTGAGATTCAGAATCTCCCTCTGGCCTTAAAATGTTCTCTACAGTATTTGGCTGCAGAGTAGCATTGAATTATAAGATTTCTATGATTTTTACATATATTCTTGGATGATGAGGTTCATTTGCATTTTGCAGTTTTTAATAATCCACTTTCCTAAAAGCTTTGTAGTAAAGAGAGGAAGTTACATGCACGGTTTTGGCTCCCTCTCTTGGCCATTCATACAAACTTCAAGTTTTATACCGAGAATAAAACCAAGACACCACTATTAAAAAAGACGGGTTTTTTTTTTCTTTTCCCCAGAGCGTATTTCAATTTTTAAATTTAATGTTTCCAAACTTATGACAGACTTTTATATTGGGCCCTTTATTTATATTTAAGTACTTTTTTTGCTTCAGAGTTAAAACTGAACACAAAGGATACATTTAGCAAATAAAAAATATTTCAGATAAAATGTAAAATTCCCACTATGTCTCTTTCTCAAGCTGTCTGTGGGAAAGGTATCCAGTTGTGCAGACTTATGTGTTACTTGTGCTCAAGGCAACACCTTTCTGCTCCAGTTTACCAGGCCCCCGAGACGTCACAGAGAGAAGAGGACCAGCCCAGAGACAATCAAGGCTGTTGCAAAAACAGGTGGAAGAGAAACCAGGCAGGTCAACTCAATGCCCATGCCCAAGTGTCTCCCTTCTCAGGAAAACCAAAGCAAAACCAGTTGTAGAAAAGATCTCTCTTTGACCTGATGTCTACTGTTGACCCCTCCTTTTATCTGAACAGCCAGGCTTCTAGAAATACTATTCCACACTCACTGTGTCTCTTTCTTTGTCACCTATTTATTCATTTCTCAACTCACTGCGATCTGGCCACCCACCCCTCCAACCCAAAGGTCCCTTGGCAAGACCCCCAAGGACCCTCCTGTGGCTAAAGCGCAAGGACCTGTATATCTTTATTTTGGCTGACCTTCTCTTGCTGGTTGACTCTGCTGGCCACGCTCTGCTTTGTGAAACAATTTCAACCCTTGATTCCCCTTCCTTCCTCTCTGACTACTGTTTCCCAGTCTCTCTTATTGTCCTTTTGTTATTCATTGTGAGCCCACGTGCATACTCCTTGTTAGGTTCACGCATTCTCATCTCCTAGCAGGGCAATGGTAAAGAGGGCAAGGTCTTGAGATAGCACATGAGGTTCCAATCACTGAGTGTCCTTTCAATAAATTGGGAAAGCTCCTCAGATTCTCACTGAGAGTTTCCTTATTTGTTTAAGTGGACCTGCCCACAGGATTGATGTGAGATATAATGAAATAATATCTTGCAAAGCATTTAAAACAATGCTGGGCACACAGTAAGCAGAGCTTGATAAATGGTGGTTATTGTGTATTCAGAGCATACGCAGTACACCATGCTAACTTCAGACATGGCACTTTTTTTAAACTTTGTATTGTCTTCTTTTTTGACCTCACATTAGTTTGTAAGTTCCTCATGGTCAGGAGATGTGTTTCTTAAGTTACAGATCTTAGGTTAATTATCATATATTTGTTACAATTAATGAGCCAAGACCAATATATTACTAACTAAAATCCATACTTTATTCAGATCTATTAGTTTTTACCTAATGTTCTTCTCTGTTTGAGAGTTCATCAGGAAGGTGAAACTAACTGTAGACACAGAACTGAGAATGGGCTGGCACGTTTTTGGAACAATGAAGAAGCTGGGTGAAGAATCAAACATATCCTATGTGTTATCTGTGGCTCTAATGAGGCACATTAGGACCTGTCTGGCTATCTGACAATAGAATACTATTCAGCCATCAGAAAGAATGAAATTTTGCCATTTGCACAATAGGGATGGACCTAGAAGTTATTATGCTAGGTGATATGTCAGTGTGGGTAAAACTGCAATATTTCTAGAATCTCTTGACTGGCCTTAGTGCATCTGCATATCAATAGATGTTTCCAAGGGGTGGCCAGAAGTAGTCCACCTCCATACCAATAGGGAGAGAGGGCATATCTGGACTGGAGAGGTTTGGTGGGGTCCCTCTTTGCAGCTGGGTAATGAGAGATGGGCAAGCAAAAGTGGACGACTACTTGTAAGCAATAAACGGGTTTCTCCCACTTTATTCTCCCTTTGACTGATTTCAGCTTCAAAGGTTATTTGCTTCAGACTGGAAACGTATTCTCCCGCCAGAGTTACAGTCAGAGAAAGACAAATACTGCATGATTTCAGTTTTTGAGGAATCTGAAAAACAAAACAAAGAAAAATAGTGACAGACTCATAAACACAGAGAACTGGCAACTGCCAAAGCATAGAGGGATGAGGGGATGGGTGAAATAGGTGAAGGGGATTAAGAAGTACAAACTTCCAATTATAAAGTAAAGAAGTCACAGGGATGAAAAATACAGCATAGGGGATAGAGTCAATAATATTGTAATAACTTTGTAAATAAAAATAAAAACAAAAAACCTCTCTGCTTACATTGCCTATGTCATCCCTGAGTAGGTGAAACAAAATAAGCAAAATATTTCCACAGTCCATAAGCTATATTCAGACTACAGTTCTTCAGGTTGTTACCTTTGCACAGATTAATAAAAGATTAAGAAATTGTAGTCAATTTATTTTTTACCCTTAAAAAATAATTAAATGTATTTCATTTAGGATACCTTGAAAGATTAAGAAATTCATACTTTTAAAACTTTATTTCACCAATTTTGTGCATTTTAAAATTCTCTTAATTTTGCATTATCAAACAATAAATATTTAATTTCATAAACATAATTCCAATTTTAACTAAATCTTAGTTTTAGATGGAGTTATTGTTTACTACATGCCCCAGCACCTTGGTTCCTGAGTTATTTTCACTAGTGTCTTGGTTGACTTGTTTCCAGCTATCGTTTTCCCCCCTAAAAGTCATGAAAACTGTGAATGCAATCATGTTTGAGACTATCTGACTTTTGCTTAATAACTGAATAACGTCTTGGCTGGACATAATGCATTTTTCTCAAAACTTTGTAGATGTTGCTATGGAGAATTCTAACACTTCTTGATTCTTTTTCCTCTTGTGGACTTTTTTCACCTGGATGCCTGAAGAATTTTTTCTTTATCTTTGGAGTTTGGCAATTTTATTAGAATTTCTCCCAATATTATCATTCCATGTCAGGTTCTTCAAGAAAACAATATGTTCTTTTAGCAAACTACAGATTCGGTTTTTCCAACATTATAGAGAAATTGTCTTCTTCTATGCATTTTTGTGATGATCCCATAAAAGGGAGATTGATGGCCTACCCCAAATTTGGTTTGGTGTTGAGACTGATGATGCCAGGTCCCTCTCTCCAAGAAAGTATGAAAAGTTTTATTACATAATGAGGCTTTCTGGGGAGAGCAGGGCAGGCTTCCAAGCAGGTCCGAAAATGACCTGAGAGATCAGGGAAGGGCCACTGGCTTGGGGTTTTATGGTGGTTAAAGAGGTTAAAAGGGTGGTTAGTCCCTTTTTTTTTGGTTTTGCAATGACTTTTACATCTAATTTTGTCATTTTATCAAATTGTCTCTTGTTGTTCCACTGAATTAATTTTTTTGAGTTCTATCTTGAGCATTCACATGAGATTCTTCTGTATCTTAGGTTATATTTTTATTCCAGATTGAACTTTTCATCTTTTTTTGCATGCTAAATTCCTCAGGATTCACTCCACTTGGTCGAGGCAGGTCCAGTTCCTGAGGGGGGATACCGTGGCTTCAGATCAGCCCTTCATTAACTGTGGTGCCCCAGAGCTTCTGATCCTGAGTCGGCCTTGGCATTCACTTCCCTATTTCATTCTTTCACTTCCACTTGGAGGTTGAGGGGAAGGATGAGGGTACCTGTGGACTTCAGCCCATGTTAGCAAGAGGTGAGGAGGTTGAGGGAAGGCTATTTTCACTGTGTCTTCAATGAAACCGTTCCCACTAGCTTTTTGCCTTTTCTTCTTTTTCTTTTTTGTTTTCATATTTTTGGCTTCTCATTAGTCATTTGGGATACTGGATGTAGTTTTGTATTTTCTGCCTTACTGCTCTACTTTTTCCCTTACCCAGAGACAGCAAAAGAGTGACTCCTAGAGATTCCTCTAGCCTCCACCAAGTCCTTTATCAACCTTCGAAGACTTATATCCTCCAGGGATTCCCCAAGACTTCCCCTTGGCTATTTACCTCCTTTCTGCTCCACTCCAAATACACAGAGAATTTTCATGGATTTGTGGGCACCCTCTTTTACTAGCACTATTTCTGCAGGTTGGGGATTATCTTTAGGACCCCTCTTAGCCCGGTAGATGCTCTGTTTCTTTCCTTTCAAGCGCATGAAGTTATGCTTCTTTTCCTTGTTTGTTTGCTGTCAGGTGGATTTCTCTTCTGTTGCTTGTTTGTGATGCTCACCATTTTTATTTCCTTTAGTCGTCTGGGGAAGAGGGAATCTGTGATCGCATCTCATGTGACATGTCTATCTGGGAAACACCATCTGATCTTTTTAAACTGTGTTCACTGGTGAATATCACTGGAGAAACCACTCAACCTTTCATAAATCCTACGTGTAAATATCAATCTTGTTAATGGCACAGGCCTCTGGGAGGTAGAATGAAGGAAACTAGGTGCAGTGGAGGGGTGATCACTTGAGATGGTTTTCAACTTTAAGAATAGCTTAGACAGGGATCTCTTTATATATCACCAAGCATATTTTTGCTACATTTTAATGTAAATTTACCTATCCCCTTCCCCACCCTCCATTTGATTCAGGGTGGGTGAACACAATACTGTATTTTATGGACAGATGTGACCTGTAACCTCGATACTATTCCTTCTTTTCTTATTTCCCAAGCTTCTTGCTTCCTTTCCATATCACAGCCTGGTATGCAAATAATCAGAGAATAGCCTATGTTCCTATGTTCTTTATTCCTTATGTATCTTACATTACACAGGGACATTTATATAACCAACTCATAAACAAAAATACATAAGTTGAAAACGTCATTTCTGGGAATGGGGACAAAATGTGGAATGAACAATTACACATTTACCATTTAGAAGGGTGTTCTTTACCTACACCCCAATGGATTCATTCACACGTATGAGGCAAGTGCTGAACACAGAGCTAAAAATGCAGCTGGGAACTGCGAGTGAGTGATGGCATGGAGGGGGAGGTGTGTGGTGTGGCGGTGGGATATAGGCAAACTGGGCCAGTGGCTTCTGCAAGCAAACGTGACAAAGCAGCTGATATGAGCTCTTGTATGGGCTAGTCACCTGGGACAGAGTATGAGAACTTGCAGTCCTTGGCCTTATGTGACTTTAAACTACCTTTGAGAGTTTACCTGAGAAACACAAGATGAGTTGCAGGACCACAGACTTTCACAGTATTAGGTAGGGACCAGGGCCAGATACTTAGCTACATTGCCAGAATAACTTGGTACATAATCAAATGCCTGTATCCCCAATTTGACAATATATATCAAGAGCCTTCTTAAAAGATTGTTTCAGCAGGACTGGGTTCCTGGGGCTAGGTGCTGTTCTGCTAGGTGAGTAGGTGTTACCCTTGCTCCAAAGACAATCATGTGCATCAGTGGCTGGAGTAAGGGATAGATTTGGGCTGGGCTCCTCTTTGTACCCAGGATTTACATAGGGCTTGGAGGAGACTTCTGGGGGGGAAAAAAAAGGCTCAGAGCTTGGCTCTACTTCACTGAGTGTCAAGGACATAAATGATGCTTAGTAGGGGGAGGCTGAGCTCAGACTGAGGTTCTAGTGCAGGATATTATATTGCCATGAGACCTTTGAGAAGGAACCCACCAAAAGGGAAGGGCCACCAACAGGATATAGGTCACACCTAGAAGGAAATGTTAACTCCTGGGACACTGTGGAGGGCTGCCACCAATGTCACTCCCACCTGTGCTGTGACAGACTTTGGTAAAACAACCAGGCAGATGGGTATTGAAAAGCTGCATCAATAAAGACCTGAAGCGCTCAAAGCCCTAGCAACTCTATGCTGAGAATCTGTCTCCAAGTTAAGGACCTCCCCAGATAGCCTCAGCCTTACCATGTCCCAGGCTTCGGTGTGTTGCTCCACTTTTCCAATAAAGTGACCCCTAGGAACTGTGAACTGTTCCCATGGTTTAGAGGCTCTGCCATTTGCTGCCACCCTCTTCAGGGCAGGAGGAGACATCCGAAGGTGCGTATGGGCAGAGACTGCACCACGGGCTGTCTTCTCCTACAGCTCCAGGACTCAGTTCCTACTTGACCAGACTCTGGGAAGCTCTGTATTTTCCAGTGGCCGCCTAGGGGCGCCAGGTGACATACCCAGGAGAAGGGGGAGGTACAAGCCATAAGACATATTTTGACCAAAGAGATAGAAGATTGGAAAGAGTCTGCAGACAATTTCTCCCCACCGCCCCCACTCCCACCTCCTGGCTGTTCCAGTACACAGTAACTTGAAATAGTCTCTCTGGAAATATCTCACAGTACTGAGAAACTATGTTTTGCAGCTGTACCTGGATGGGTAACACGCCACCTCCTATTTGCTTCCCTCCTTTCCTTTCCTTTTGCCCTCATTCTTACTTTCCTACAGTGAAAGCCCCCCAATGAAGCACTAATATGTAATTCAGGTTGTTTTCGAGAGCACAGAAGGTGTAAAAAGGTGACTTAGGTGGAAGTTTGCAGTGAAGGTAAAGGTATGGAAGAAATGTTGAGGCATTCGGCATGTTCAAAAGCTGTAATAGATCAGGGGCAGCAGATCTGGGCTCTGGATCCATCATAAAGATGGGGAAAAAAAATTTGGGGATTGGGAGAAACTGTGGTTATGGAATTATGTCTCCAGGAGGTACATTTCCTATTCTCTAGCAGGTGGCAACAGGTAGATGACTACAAGGAGTTTTTCATGGATGGTTATGCCTATACTCCAAAGGCCACAGAAACATGTTGGGTAAGCTTCTCATTCAAGAGGTGAAATTATTCATTACATCAAGTCTTTGTAGCAATAAGTGGAAATAAAAAGTGATCATACCTTCAATGAAAATGAGAACTGGAGCAAGAGGCTGTAGCCACTGGAGACCTTTTTGCTGAAACCCTGCAAGTCTGTGCCTTGTTTTGGGAGGGAGGGGAGAGGGTTTCTGTACACACACATCACGTTGGTTAATTCTCCTCACAGTTCAGGGTGGCAGACATCCTTACTGCCATTTGGTGGATCAGGAATAAGAAACCTTAAGTGCTTCATCCCAAATTACACATATTAAGAGCTCAAATCATCTTGATGTCCTTTTGCTCAAAGCTACAGCTATGGTTCTAAAGGGAACTGAGGAGGAAGTAAACTTCACCAGAGATCAAAATGGCTTTAGCTGATTAGTGGCTGTTCTTTAGGCAATGAATCAAGACAAAAGAAAAATGATTTGAAAGTTGAGGGAACTGGAACCCTTTTAAAATTGTGCCAGGTAACGTCTGTGTTTCTATGAGAGACCTATAATTTATGTAGATTTCACATACATCTTTTTCAGATACTGTATAAATTGGGGAGTGTGTGGAGTGTTGTGGAACTAAATGTATTTGTATGTGTTCAACACACTGTATAATTGACTCAATTATCCATGTGGGGATTATTCACTTCTAATTTGCAATCTGGCTTCTTCTTTCAGTTAGGATATTTTGGGCTGCTCTAGGAATGCCAACTAATTTAAATAATAGTTTAAGTAAAACATAATTAGGTAGGAAAATTAAGTTCAATCTTTTGCCAGCTTCTAAAGATTCTACAGCTGACATTTAATTAACACATCCACTATCATTTCGTTCTCCAATGTCATTTTACTACTACACGATTTTATTGCTTTCCATAGATTAGTGCTACAGTTCCCTATCTGGCTTTCTTGCTTACCTCTCTTTCCAGTCCAATCATTCTGCTGAGGTAATCTTCAAACCGCAGCCGCCCCACCACCACCCTCCTCCGCCCCGACAACAAAAACACAAAACAAAAACAAACTACAGCTCATCACAAAAACTTATTTGCTTGAAAACATTTAATAGTTTTCCAGTTCTCACCAGATTAAAGTGCACATGGCCACAACCTATCATTCAAGGCTTCTTCAAGCTATCTGCCTCAGGAAGTTTTCCTGGGCCTACTACCTCCCATGCTTGATCACTGCTCCCATTTCCTAATGGCTTTAATGCCCCGCGTTTGAAGGCAGACCAAGGTATTGTGAACCTGTGTTGTCTCCCTATTCTCCTGTGAGATCCTTACGTCAGTCTCTGCGGTGATTCCTCTCCTTCTATGCCGTACCTAGCTCAGGGCCATAACCCAAGGAGGGAGCAACAATACTGATCCATCTGCACTGCTGGCAACCCCCCAGGGCAGGAATCTTATCTCTAGCGGCTAGCACAGCGCCTTGAACACACTAGGCGCCCCATAAATACCATTGCACGATTTAAGGTACACACCGCAAGCTCCGCGCGGCATCCTGCAGAGCTCCGGCGCTGCAGACCCGGCTGGGCCAAACCATCGCACCGCGCGCAGGCCGGGGCGCGGGGCGCCGCCTCTATTGCGAGGTGGGCTGGGGGCTCCACGCGGGGACCGGACCCACAGCATCTCCCACCGGCCGCCCTGCAGAGGCGGCCAGACACCGCGGGAATGCTCCAACTTTATAAAAAAAAAGTATATGAATATGTACCCAAGCCTAAATGTGTATATTTATACACACCACACAGTATGTATTGTGTATTTTATGTATTATACATAAAAAATACACACATCTATATCTAGGTATGTATATACACATATAAGTACATATATATAAATGTAAATATGTATATAGGCTGAACTACGAACGGTAAGATCGGCGGGCAGGATCTCGGTGACGCTCAGATGTTCCCGCCTCGGCAGCACGCAGGACAGGGCTAGGGCGTCCCGTCCGCGGAGCAGGGAGGGAGCACGGCGTGGACCTTCCGGCTTTCCGTCCGCCGCGGCGGTCATTGGCGGGCGCCAGCCAGCTGACCAGCGCCGACGTGCGGGGGAGGCTCCAGAATGGCGGCGTCCGCAGCGCTGATCCTCCCGGAGAGCCCCAGGTAGCTGCCCCCGCGGGGGCGCGGACGGTCAGTGCCTGCTGCCTGCGTGCCCTGCGCCGCCGCGGCGGGGCTGGGCTGGGCCGGGTGGGCCCGGGGCTGGCGCCAGGGTGGGGCGGGCCCCGCGGCGGTGCGCGGGAGCGCGGGCGCTGCCACCTGCGCGGCGGGCCGCAGGCGCGGGGCCCCGGCGGCCGCAGCCGAGCTCGGCCCCGCAGTGCGCGGTCGGCCCCGCTGTACCCAGGGTGGGGTGTCGGCAACACCCAAGCCTCCCTGGCGAGTGCCGGGTCACGTGGGAGGCGTTCCGCTTCCGTGTTCGGGTCTCGCGTCAGACCTGGTGATGAGAAAGGCTCCCGTCGGTGCCGGCCGGTCTTTGGTACCAATACATGTGAATGTCCCTTTTCAGTCACAGTAGAACAGGCCTCCAGCCAGAAGGTTTTGCCTGGCAACCGTATCTAGCCAGAATTCGGTAACATTGCTTTTGTTTTCATTTCATTTATTTATTTATTTAGTTCATTTTCAACCTAGGGAAGATGAGATCAGGTGTCCGTGGTGGTGATACAAGGTTCTCTTTTAAAGTGAAATTATTTAGGGAAGAATGACTCTGACGAAAAATAAAATTAGGTGGTGTGTGGATGCGAACCAAGTGCGAGTAGTCAAAAGTTGGAAAATAACTTCTTTGTGGCTGGATTGAGCAGGAATCTTGAAGAGGAGAGCTGTCATTTTCACGTTTCTCCTCCTTCCTGACACCAGTTCCTTTCCTCACACCAGTGCCCTGAGCAACACACACTGCATCAGTAGACTGTTTCCAATATGCTGCAGTAGAATTGTTCTTACATCATTTAAAGTTGATTGTTGCAGTGGAAGCAGAGTTTTAAAACAACTGTGTACTTAGTGCCCTGAAATCATTTCGTTTGTAGTCTTTTTAAAGCTCCCATTATCTGCCATGCAGCATTCTTTTCTTTATATTTTTGGTCTTATTGCCACTTCCCTCCTCCCCGTCTTTCCAGAGTTCCATTTTGGGTTAAGCAGCTTCTTACACACCCACTGCTGAGTTAATGCAACTCCCCCCGTAGTAATTTGCCAAATGGACTTTTTCAGCAGAAATACTTTGGGGAGGCATCTTTTTGGAAATGTCCTGTCTCCTTTGCTAGCCATCTCTGCTGTTGTTTTGCTCAGACTAACCTTATTATGAGAGTTGTTGAAATGAAACTTAATACTGCAGTTATAGAAAACTATACCCACAGCAGGTGTAGCCTGACTTGGAAAACTCATTTTAAATCTTTGTTTTATGAATTTATTTAGCATGAAAAAAGCAGTGTCGCTGATAAATGCAATAGATATAGGAAGATTTCCACGATTGCTCACCCGAATTCTTCAAAAACTTCATCTGAAGGTTTGTATTTCACATTTCTGTAGCTTACAATACTTTCTCATGTTTCCACTGAAACTCTGTGTTTCTACTTGAAGAACATTTTGCTACGTATAATATTCTACAGTGTGTCCTCAGGAACACTGGGTCTCTAAAAAGTTTGATAATATGTCATGTTCAAAAGTTTGGGAAACTGTCATCTTCATTATTAAAGTTAAATTTTTTTCATTATGGAACTTTTCAAAGTACGTTTTATGGTAATGCTTATAGTAAATGTGGTGTGCAAAACTTTCCAAATCTGTTTGACCGTGGAACTATTTTATCATGGGATATATTTTGGGACTGAGGGGAACATACTTTGGAAAAATTCTGATGCATGATTTCATTCATAGAATCTTTCTTTTCCACTTTTATTGCAAAGGTGTGGCTATTTTGGACATACTAATGTTTAATAATCACTGTGTGATCACCAATCTAAGTTAACTTCTTTGTCAGCTTATAAAATTTAATTCCATCTAATACATGTTTATGGAGCACCTGCTAACTGCTCTACCTGGTGCTGGGCATCATCATTAAATTAGGACCTGGACTCTTTCCTCTTTTTCTTTTCTGACAAGGGGCCAGTCCCAAAGCCCTACCCTTTCTCCCTCCGAGGTGTCTCTCAACTCCAAGTTCTGTTTATATTCCTAGTTCAGATCCTTATTATCTCTCCCTTGAACTACAGTAATTACCTTCACATGATTATCTCTGTCTATAGTCTTCACCCTTCCTATTGCTTCTTCATAATGCTATTCCATTTATCTTTTTAAATATTTTTTCCAAAAAGTATAAGAGTTGATCATAGCTTTTTAGTGTTCAAAGCCGTCAATGACTTTCCACTGCCCCATGAGAAAAGTTCAAAATCCTTGATATTGAATTCAGTATAATAATAGTATAATATTCTCTAGTCTTTATTCTCTCCACTTTTCTAGTGCTCCAGTCACATTGGACTGTGCTTTTTTACTACAATGTAACATGAACTTTTAAAATTCTGCATCCATGTATGTAACTAATTTCTTACCTGCAGTGTCTTTCTTCAACTGTAGTAAATAAATTATTCATCCTTCAAGGATTGCAAAATCTCACTCTCGGCGGTTTGTTCTCTCTTCTGTGCTTCTGAAATACTTGGTTCATTCTCATCAGACTTCAGTACTTCATCGCAAGTATTTGTCTCATGGTAACAGTCTTCTTCTGACCTTGAATACCTTGAGTATCAGGTCTTACTCATATTTTTATTTCCTGTACCTAATACATTGATGCTTACACAGTCAGCCCTCAGTAAGTGTTCTTGGAGTTACTTGTTTTCCTTGCATGGGAAACACAAAATAAATGTAGGTCCTCAAAATTTCTGTCTGTAAGGAATGTGTGATTTAGGTGGAAAAATAGGAACAACCACCACAATACTAACAGCTACATTTTGCCATATTTGTTGTTAACAGTTGCACAGCTCCTTCTGTGACTGGTACTTTGTATTAACTCACTTTGTCCTTGTAGCATTTAGGAAGTAGGTACTATTGTCATCCTTATTTTATCCGGGAAGAAACTGAGATAGAGACTAGCTAAGTAATTTGTCCGAGGTCACACAGCTAGCTAATAAGGCAGTCTGATCCCAGAATCAATCCCTTCAACCAAGTACCGTAAACCTCAGGGAAGTGTACAGAATAGTGTATCCATCAGTCTACAAGTGAGTGATGCCGGCAATCACTACAGTTCTGCTTTGATTTCACTGAACTGTTGGCTGCCTTTTTGAACGTATAAAACAAGATGGGACAAAAAAATCTTCTTACATAGATCTTCTGGTGTTCAAACTGAGGGCAGATGGACCATTTGGAGGAAAACTGTGATGTGTAGTTTGTCTTTGATCCTCTCAGTTACCTCTGGAGTTGAGAGTAAGTTAATATCTAAGAGTAAGTGAGTGGCCAGATCATTCCACAGAAGCAGTTGCCATCAGAGGCAGGGGAGTGGAGATGAGGAGGTTTGGTAGTTGAGATCTGAAGTTCTTGAGGACAGAAACATATGTATGTGATTACTTGCCTGCTAAGAAGCAAAGTCAGGAAAGGTGCAATTTTTTTTTTGGACAGTTTCCTGTTGTGACAAGGGCTCTTATCAAATGAAGTCTGCAGCGGCATTCAGGGTCTGCCAGCTCTGTTTTATGTACTCTTGGTCTGTCAAGTTAGCTTTTGCCTTGTACAGGCAGAGCCTGTAGAACAGTGTAATCTGATGCAGGAGATTGGGGAAGAGGTTTTTGGATTTGGTTGCTATTCTAAATGTTATCAGCCTGGCACTTTGATTTTCCCAAGTTTTAGCTACTTACGGGCAGAGGATATCTGTTTTTGTCCAGATGGTTTGTTGGAATTCCTGGTAGCAATACACACGGGTACACTAAGCTTTGATAGAGAATGTGGGCATGTCTCAGTCCCATCATGTCTCAGCCATTTTTCTGGCCCATCTTAGCATATAGAAACATCGGAGAATTTAGAGTTTCACAGTGTACAGAGGATGCTGCTGGCATTTACTGCCCAAGAACTTTAAGTGTCTTGCAATATACAAGATTGTCCTGTACAGGTCCCATCCAGCAGGCTAGTAGAGTCTGCATTGGGAAACAATGAGGGAAGGCAGACTAACTTCTGTAGCTGGGAATTTAGATATGAAATCATGGCTTCTGAGTGTCAGAAATAGGAGTCATAACTCATAAAATTAAAAAATCACCTATACTTTTCTTCAGTCTCTGTTGGAGAGACTTTGAAGCCCTCACCCAGATCCTATTGCCATAACTGCTCCGTGTCTGAGAGAGCAGCTATCTGGATTCCTGGCCTCAGCAGATTAGCAACAGCAAACAGGGGGATTGAAGGTGCTGCTGTGATGGGGCCTGCATGCAGGTAGTTTCAAGAATTCACTGCTGATTGTGTAATAAACAGTAAGAATTATGAAAATCAGATGCAAGACATACAAAAGCACAGAAACCTGATGGTCGTTTCTGAAGTGAAAAACCATCAGTGTAGGAGTTCTTTAGGGTACTGTAGCACAGACCTCTGATGCTCACAGCTAGAACCTGATGCAACACAAAAAATCTTATATACCTTGTAAAAGCCTAGAATGGGTGCTGTACACCTTGGAAAGATTGCTTTCAAAGTTTACAAGCTACTTGATAGTTTCATTTGTGTCTACCTGTGTATTCTTCCCATTGTGACAGAGAAGTCTCATATTGACGTAAAGGACAATCCCAGGTGTGAACCCCAGCATGTAGAAATGCCTGAGGATTTTGTTGGTTGTTACAGCGTGTGACCTAGTGTCCCTGTTGGAGCAGAATGTTGAATATGTGTTTGGAACTTTGGTTTATAGCTGTGCTCTCCATACTTTGTAGTGGCTCCAACCCATCTGTGTCTCCACCCTGACCCACCCCACTCCAGATGCCAGGGCCACGGGCTGGGAGCCAGGACAGGGGCAATCCTGTTAGAAGGCGCTGGAGCCAGTTTGCAAAGCAGCATACTGGCATTGAATGCCTTGGGGTTTATATGTCTTACAATGTGCAGGACTCTATTGCACAAAAAAGAACTGGCCCCACCTATATGGACAGCAAAGAAAAGGGCAGCTTATCTCTGGAAATGTATTTATCTTGTAGTTAATGTAAGGTAGAGGGTTCCTTACAGTAAATGCCAGCAGCATCCTCTGTACACTTGTAACTTAAGCACTTTTAAGTTACTGTGTACGCAGAGCACTCGTACCGTGTCTTCCATTGTGGCGTTCGCAGGGTGTGTATGACTGTGTGAGGCAGAGCTGGGACTCTGGACCGTAGGCCCTTCTGTCTCAAAATCTGTGTGCTGAGTTTGTAAACCTAATTGCCTTCATAATTATTTAGATGATATATAGAATAGAGGGCCTCTATTATTTTCTGAGAAATGTGACCTGATTTCAACTGTATGTGGAATTGAGAGTAGTTCACTCACCATGTATGTTAAGGAAATGAGTTCTTCTTTGGGGGAAAAAAATGAAAAGTTGGAAGAATGGATTTTTAATTTGCTTTTTTTGTGTGTGCCCTTAAAGTCCAAAATACTTAGGGTCCTTAAATTAAATATTTTAATACTGTATTTTAAAATTTCACAGAAAGTTTATGAATAAATTTTTGTTTTTAGACATTTAAACAGTATGGACAAGCTGAGGTGCTCCCTTGGTTAATTAACTCTTGCCCCTCCTTCCATTTTAATTCTCTCTTGTATTAGTTATCTTTTGCTGAATTACAAATCACTCCCAGCAAAACTAAGCAGCTTAAAACGTCGATAAACATTTATTATCCCTCACGGTTCCTGCAGGTCAAAAATTTAGGAGCGACTTGGCTGGGTGGCTCTGGGTGGTTCTTGTGAAATAGCTGTTCCATGTTGGTTAGGGCTGCTGCTATCTGAAGGCTTGGCTGCGGTTGGAAGATTTCCTCCCGGTACGGCCAGATGGTGGCAGCAGTTGGTAGGAGGCCTCAGTTCCTTGCCGCACAGTCTTTCCTTCTGACATGGAGATTGGCTTCTACCAGAATGAGTGATCCAAGGTAGGGTAGTGCTGTCCTTCTTGGGACCTAGCCTCACATATCTCGTAGCTTCACTTCCACTTTATTCTGCTTGTTAGAATTAAGTCACTAAGTCTGGCTCACGTTCAAGGGAAAGGAAATTGGGTGCCATACTTCGATGGGACCGTGTTAAAGCATTTCTGGACATCATAAAACCACCACACCTCCCTACAGGTAGCCTTTGCTATCAGTTTGGTTTTTATTTTTCCAGATCTTTTTCCATGTATTGATAAATACATATATTAATAAATGCACATACCCATAGAAGTGTGTAGTTTGTCTATGTGTGTTTATAGAAGTGGTATCATACTATATATATTGTTCTATTATTTACCTTTTTCACTTACCAGTTTTATCCAGGATCTTACCATGTCAATCCATATAGCACCACTTTGTTTTATGTGTTGTGTTGCCTTTCTGCCTGTGTATATATGTTTATGGCATATACTCTTTAAATATATAAAAGAACATAAACATCTACTTTCCATTTTAAAATTGAAATTTCTTGGACACTTATGCTTTAATTCTATAATCCTGGGTCTTAATTTTCTCCCACTGAAAGGATTAAAAAGAATGTATCTCTTTTACCTGCTCTTTAACTCCCAGATATGTGTGAGTTGCTTTTGGTAGATAGAAGTTAAACTGCTGCTGTTTGAAGAGGTAGAGGGACCTGCATTTAGTATTTACCTGTCTAGGGTCACTGTTGGAGCAGGATGTTGACTACATGTTTGGAACTTTGGTTTATAGCTATGCTCTCCGTTTGCTGCTCTGATCACGTATTTTAAGGGTGCATGCTTGGTGTACCAGTGGGTGGGATGAGATAAATGTTTCCTTGCCCCTTTTCACTCCAAACCACCTTAAGATAATGGCCCTTTTTTTTTTTTTTTGCTCTTCTTTTTAAAAAATATCTCACTTTCTTGTACATATTGGGAACACTGAAGTTTATTACATGCTCAGTCACTTTTTATTTTGCCAAACAGCTTATTTGGTGTATAGTTAAAGAAATCAGATTGACCAAGTTGGAAGTTAAATTGTAAATATCTATCGAATTTAAGGCAACATGTGGTGCAGTGATTATACATAAATAATACTGTTACATTCCTCATACTGATAAAATCTGGAAGTATAGGCTATTGTTTCAAAAAGATGTATGGTACTCTCAAAAATTCTGGAACTTTTAAATTAAAACATTGCTCTTACGGTAAGTGATTGGCATTTTTGCCAAACTGGGGTCATGCTTTTGTCAGTCGTAGAGCCTGGGAGTTCTGGTGTCTCTCCTCCAAAAAAGCAAGAAGAGGCCAGCGTGGAGCTCTAGTGCTGCTTCAGCTGAGCAGCTGTAGTTGCCCAGCACCCTGAGCTGTCAAGGCCAGACTTGTGGAATTTCTGAAATGTCTCTGTGTTGCTGTGGGGCAGAGGCAGCAGCCAAGAAAGTTCTGTTTAGTAGATGTGGATAAAGTATTTATTTTTATTTAAGAGTGTACATTTTCATACTCGATGAATCAGTATCTTTAGAGCAAGGTGATTATTTTGGAAATTAAATAAAGGAGACTAACCAGAGGTTGTATGTGGATGGCTGGCTTCTTTTTTTCATGTATTGCTTATAAAAGTAATGTGTGTTGTGTAAGTTTTGGAAAATACATATTAAAATTATAAAAACAATTAGATTTCCTGCTTTATGTGTGGTTTTATAATAACCATCCTTTTGTGGAACCCACCAAATGGAAATTATTTGAATGATTAGTTGTTTTATGTATCTTTTTAACTAGAATTTAGTGAAGACATGAATTGTCTATGTAGCACATAATAAATACTCAGTAATATTTTTGATGAAGATGGAAATTACTATTAATTATTAACATTTTGGGGTTTTACCTTCTAGTATTTTTTTTCTAAATGTCCATTTGTTATTGTTATTTATTGTTATTTTCCACCTCCTGTAATCATAGAACTTAAAATACTGTTTTTTTAAAGTTGGCCAGATATTTATTTGGCAATACCCAGATAGTGAACTCTACTATGATTTTGAGATATTGAAATTTAGATATTGAAATTTATGAACACATCAGTTTCACCATGGATTCACTTTTATTTTGAGGTTCTCATTCCATATGTGAATAAATGAATCTTGTGTCATATATCTGAGATTTGAGTACCTGAGTATGTGCTAATAGATTGCTTTTTGTGTTTTAGGCTGAGAATAGTTTCAGTGAAGAAGAGGAAGAAAAACTTCAAGCTGCATTTTCTCTAGAAAAACAGGATCTTCACCTGGTTCTTGAAACAATATCATTCATTTTAGAGCAGGTATTTTTATTGCCCCAAACTTTCCAACTGTGGTTTGCTTACTACATGTTTATATTGCTATGATAGCTATAATATTTTTTTGAAAGTGTGCAGATGGAAGGTGTGACTGCATTTTAATTAAGAATTTCAATGTAGTAAACAAATACTTGAATGTATGATTTGTTTCCATGGTATTGTATTCTACAGAACAATCTTAATGTTGAGTAGCATGAGTAGAGTATATATGTGTGGTTTTATAATAACCATCCTTTTGTGGAACCCACCAAATGGAAATTATTTGAATGATTAGTTGTTTTATGTATCTTTTTAACTAGAATTTAGTGAAGACATGAATTGTCTATGTAGCACATAATAAATACTCAGTAATATTTTTGATGAAGATGGAAATTACTATTAATTATTAACATTTTGGGGTTTTACCTTCTAGTATTTTTTTTCTAAATGTCCATTTGTTATTGTTATTTATTGTTATTTTCCACCTCCTGTAATCATAGAACTTAAAATACTGTTTTTTTAAAGTTGGCCAGATATTTATTTGGCAATACCCAGATAGTGAACTCTACTATGATTTTGAGATATTGAAATTTAGATATTGAAATTTATGAACACATCAGTTTCACCATGGATTCACTTTTATTTTGAGGTTCTCATTCCATATGTGAATAAATGAATCTTGTGTCATATATCTGAGATTTGAGTACCTGAGTATGTGCTAATAGATTGCTTTTTGTGTTTTAGGCTGAGAATAGTTTCAGTGAAGAAGAGGAAGAAAAACTTCAAGCTGCATTTTCTCTAGAAAAACAGGATCTTCACCTGGTTCTTGAAACAATATCATTCATTTTAGAGCAGGTATTTTTATTGCCCCAAACTTTCCAACTGTGGTTTGCTTACTACATGTTTATATTGCTATGATAGCTATAATATTTTTTTGAAAGTGTGCAGATGGAAGGTGTGACTGCATTTTAATTAATAATTTCAATGTAGTAAACAAATACTTGAATGTATGATTTGTTTCCATGGTATTGTATTCTACAGAACAATCTTAATGTTGAGTAGCATGAGTAGAGTATTGAATCAAGACTTGAGTGACCTGAGACCAGTATAAAAGATTTTCATTCATGGTTCCTTGGTGTATTAATTTGGAAAAATGTAACATTTAAGAAATTTAATAAGTGATTTTGGGGGATTTGTTTGACTAGGATGATAAATAAAATATTTAGAAAAATAGTAGTTGTCAAAGGACCTTTTATTATACTGTTTCTTCCTACTGAATTTATTTCTGCATCCCTCCTTTGAACCTAAATTCAGTTCATTGTTTAAATATCCTTCCAGTCATGTCTCTTCCCACTGTGACCTTGACCCCTTATACTTGCAGTCTTCCCCTAACTTGAATTCTTTTATCCTTGGTTCATCAAAAGAGGGCACGCTGTTAGTCTTTTATTATTTCATGTGTGCCTGTAGGCCTCCCTTTAATTTGTTGGGTGCCAGGATCATATTTTTGTGCATCCTATGCAAACCTAGCACATTGCTGGGCTTAAAATAGATTCTTGATAAATTCCTGTTGATTGATTAAATAGAATACTTGTGAAATAAAAATTTAAATAATGTTGTAGGTTCATGAACATTCTAGTGAACAGATACTATTAGGAGGACAAGCTATCAGGCATCTACTATATACAGCCTTGTTCAGATTACAGATCATAAAGATGACTATGGCTCTTACTCTCGGTGGTCCCCTTCAGTAGAAGAAAAGGATAGTAGAATAGGACTGAGCAGCATGGGATTTATGAGAAAGTTGTTCCAAAGTAATGTAAGAAATGTAACAGGTATCATTGATAAAGTTTTTAATAATTTTTTATTCTATGTTACCTAGGAAGTTGGTAGATGAAGGTAGTTTTGAAAAATGCTTCTTGGAAAAATTTGGTTAGTAGGGAAATAAAACCATTGTACATGTCTTTGAAATAATTAAGTGAAATAAGGAAATGAAATTTTAATTAGGGTGCTATTTACATAACTCAAGCATAAAAGAAGTTTTTCCATTAAGTGGATATGGGATTACTTAAACCACAGACAGCAAAAATGGAAAAGCTCAGCCTGAATGATTTAGGCCATTTAATCCTGAATCTTCTAGCCCTTGGTTGTATATATTATTATTATTTGTAAAATAATCAGAAATGTCCACAGTAGAAGTATTAAGTATTGTCTTAATTTAGATCATTTAAAAATAATTTTGTATTGATTATGGCTCAAGGTCTCTGTGTGAATATTAGGGATCTATGTAATTTTTTTTTTCTCTTGAATAGGCAGTATATCATAATGTGAAGCCAGCAGCTTTGCAGCAGCAGTTACAGAACATTCACCTTGAAGAAGACAAAGCAGAAGCATTTGTCAGTGCCTGGTCTTCTATGGGTCAAGAAACAGTTGAAAAATTCAGGCAGAGGATTCTTGCTCCCTACAAGGTATAGGAATACTACTCCCCAGATATTTTTCAAGAGTAGGGCATGAATTGCTATACCTGAAGAGTTTTTAAGGTGGTAATGTATTGTAGAGAGGTAGAGTCAGGCAAAAGGAAGTGTGTGTGTGTGTGTGTGTGTGTGTGTGTGTGTGTGTGAAATGGTCCTTTAAAATTATTTCCATATATGTGTGTGTATGTATGTGTTTATGTATATATACATATGTATGTACTGCCACAGTGTGATTTAATTTTAATTGCCAGTTTAAAATATGCTTCTATATCTTAAGATCCTGAGTCCTTGGGCAGAGTTGGATTTTCTTTTAACTGTGTACCCAAGGATAAAACTTACTCTGATTTTTACCAAGTCATGTAATCACTTGTTTTTATATATCTGTCTTAGTGCCTAGGAGAATGCCTTGCATGCAGAAGGTACTCAGTATTTGTTCAGTAGCAAATAGTGAACTTTGGGAAAAATATAAAATAACAGCAGTGTCACAAAGCTCTTTCATAACCTTTAGACACTATTAATGGAGGTTAAGGTGATCATACTGATTTTTCCATTTTTTCTGTTAATATGTTATATTACATATTTGATTATCAGATTTTCAACCAACTTTGTATTCCTGGAATAAATTTCACTAGGTTGTAATGTACAAGTTCTTCTTATATGTTTCTGTATTTGATCATAATATTTTGTAAAAGATTTTTCCATCTATCTTCATGAGGGATATTGGTGGTATCAGGGTAATAACTGGCCTCATAGATGAGTTGACATGTGTTCCCCCTCTTCTGTTTTCTGGAAGCATTTGTGAAGGATTGGTATTATTTTGCATTTTCGTCAGCATTGGATGCATGTTCCAGTGGTTCCATATCCTGGTCAGCACTTGCTGTTGTCAGTTGTTTTTATTAAAACTATTCCAATAGATTTGTAGAAGCATATTGTACTTTTAATTTGCATTTCCCTAATACAAATGATGTTGATGATCTTTTTTATGTACTTAACTTGCTTCCATACATCTTCCTTGGTGAAGTGTCTGTTCAGATCTTTTGCCTAACTCTATTTCTATATTGTGACAGATAAAGAAGTCTCATTAGAGTAATATAAAGAACAATTACAGGTGTAAATACCAGCATATAGAAATACATAGGTATTTTTTTGATGGTTACAGTTTACGGAGGTGTTTGTTTTTCTACTGTTTTGTGAGTTCTTTTTATATTCTAGGTATAAGTCCTTTGTCATATTTGTGATTTGAAGTTATTTCCTCCTAGTCTACAGCTTCCCTTTTCACTTTTTTAACTCTTTTGAAGAGTAAAAGCTTTTAATTCTGAAGTTTAATGTATTGTTTTCCTTCTATTGATCCTGCTCTGCTTTTGTATCTGAGAAATTGTAGCCCAATGCAGTGTCACAAAGATACTCTTTTCTTAGTGTTTTAGAGGTTTATGTTTTACATTTAGGTCTAAGATCCAATTTGAGTTAATTTTGGGTAAGGCAAAAGGTACAGATCAAAGTTCTTTTTTTCTGCATGTGGATATTCATTTGTTCCAGCATAATTTGTTGATAACATGCATTTGTCACTAAATTGCCTCAGCCTCCTTGTCAAAAATCATTTGACATGTTTGTGTGAATCTTTTCCTAGACTGTCTATTTGGGTCCATTGACCTATTTGTCTGTATTGATGCCAGAATCTCTATGCCAGTATCACACTGCCTTAATTACTGTAGCTTTGTAGTATTTTTTCTTTATCTATAAAAAGTCCTGATATTTTGATTGTTTAATTAGTAGGTGACTTTGTAGAGAAATGACTTCTTAACAGTACTGAATATATTTCTCCACTTATGAAAGTCTTCTTTGATTTCTTATATCAGTGTTTGTTATTTTTCAGCATACAAATCCTGTTATTTCAGGATATAGATCTGCACATATTTTATTGGATTTGTGCCTAAGTATTTCATAGTTTTGGAGTTGTTGTAAATGGTTCTGTTTTTAAATTTTTGGTTTCCAGTTTATTGCTAGTATACAGAAACACAATTGTGTATGTTGACTGTCTATGGTCTTGGTAAACTCACTAATTAGTTGTAGCATTTTTTTGCGTGTGTGTGGATTCCTTGTGACTTTCTTTGTAGACAGGTTGTCCATGAATAGACAGTTTTATTTCTTCTTTTCCAGTCTGTTCAGCTTTTATTTGCTTTTCTTGCCTATTGCACTAAATAGCACTTAGTATGATATTGAATGGGAGTGGTAAATCCAGACAGCCTGCCTTGTTCCCACCTTTAGAGAGGAAACTTTAAGTCTCTCATCATTAAGTAGGATGTTAATTGTGGGTTTTTAGAAAATGCCTCTTTTTTGTTTTCATTTCTCTGTACTTTTTCAGTTCAGCATTCTAAGAGCTCTCAAGTGTTCTCCACATTATTGCTTCATTTTTCATCATTTTAATTGTCCCTTTTTCTGCATCCTATACAGATTTTGATTTCCATTTTGTGTCCCTGGAGTTTTCTTCTTTCAACTATCTCCATTAAAAAAAACATCTCTCAAATCTTCTGCATCCGTGGATGTTTTATTACCCTTGTCTAGCTTGGATTAATACTTAGTCCATAGGCACACACCTGATCATCTACATTTGCTTTCTTACAGCACTAAACTATGTTTTCTACCTTTGTCTTGCATCTACCTACCACTTCAGCATTTTATTAAAAATAATAATAATAATAATAATAAGGGAGAAATGTGGGATCCACATATAAATTAAGTATAAAAATCAAATGAATATTCATATTTGACCTGATTGTTTATAGTTCATAATGTGTGATCAAAACCAAAGTTTCTGTGATGACTGCCCTTGTACTGTTCACCATGTAAGAACTTATTCAGTATGTAAGAATTTGTTCACCATGTAAGAACTTGTTCGTTATGCTTCAGAAGATCAAAGACTGATGACAATTAGGCTTGGGGTGGATTAATGATTGTGCATTGAGTCCCCTATACAGAATTTTATTGTTGTTAACAACCATTTGATCAATAAATATGAGAGATGCCCTCTCAAAAAAAAAAACAACAAAAAAAAACATCTCTCTTTGCCTTTTAATATTTGCTTTTCTGTTTATATAACTTCTGTTTTATAGGGTCTGTTTTTCTTGCTTTTATACATGTATAGTATACTTGTACAGTTAAAAGTAGTTTTTTCTCTGCTTCTAATAGTAAGTCATTTTTCAGGGTCTTCCAGATGATAGTTTCCTTCTTTCTTTAAAATAAGATTTCTTCTCTTTATTATGTTGCATTATGTTAACTTCTGTTTAATATGTGATTTAATCACTTGCCATAAAAAATATGTAAAAAAGAAGTTGAAAGGACATGATTAATTGTACAGTAGCCCCTTGAATGTAGGAAATTAATCTTTTGCCAGCACAGAATATATGAGGATTGCTGACTCCTTATTTTAATGCCTTAAATGCTTAATTAAGATAATAGAATAACAACAAATGTTTCTCTTATACTTATTGTGGACTAAATACCAGACCAATTGCTCTCTATCTTGAAAAAATAAAATTGAGGCTTAGAGAGATTAAATAATTGGTCCATGGTCATGCAGCTAAGCTGCAGAATTGGGATTTGACCCAAGTAGTACACCTCTAAGCCATTATGCTACACCCACCTAGATGTTAGCTACAGAATTTTCGGTGTCAGGCATTATCAGGGTGGTTTACACAGTTGTATGTGTATGTTTCGTGTATTTGAAAAGGAAGGAAGTACAACTTGAGGAAGTATAAAACCCAAGTGTTCTGTGGGATAAGCTGAGGTGGAAATCAGATCTGTTCCTTTTGCCATGTTCCCTTTATATCTTACTGCTTACCTCTGGCAGGTATAAAATTATCTTCCTTTTTTGCCCCGAAAACTATTTAGGATGTGGTGACTAAAACAGGCATGCATGGAAATAGATCTTATTATTTAAATTGCAACAAAAATACATGGCAGTGACTTAATGAAAAAAGGTGTATTTACAATGTGTGCTGTTTTGAGGTAATTTAAGGGCTCATTCACACCAACTGTTTGCACTGCTTGCAGTGGATGGAGCCTCTATGTGTGGGTGATAATTCTAAATTCAAAGAGAGTCAAATTCAAATAAATAATAAATCAAATCAGAAGATGCTTATTTTTAAAAACACCTCTTTGTCTTCTGTTATTTAGATCTAATAAGTGACAGCAGATTGAAAATTAATCTTAATGAAAGCTTTTTGTAGGATATGATTGAGGAGATTTAAAAATTTCATCCTTTCTCATTTTTTAAAAATATACTTTATCTTAACCTCTTTGGAGACTTGAGACTGAAATGTCACTACCACTTATTGGAAGTTGTATTCTTAGTGTGTCAGCAGTGTCCTTCTAATAGGGTTTTCTGTTTGATTTTTGTTATGATGCCTATGTGGTTGTGTGGTTATAACGTTTATTAAATTATGAATCCCCTTTCAGACAGAACTTGAATAGTTTAATTTTACTCCTAAAATTCTGTTTAGAGTTCTTACATATAGTCCCATTATAGTAAATGTAAAAACTTCCATATAAAATTATTAATGAAACGTGTCTTTTCTGAGACCTTAAGGGAAAGATTTGTGGTCTTTTTATGTAACATATTTTTTCTGAAGTATTTTTACATTCCAAGTTAACTCTGTCCCTCAGTAACATATTTGGTTATGGGAAATATATTTCTTGAATTATATAAGGAATGTATATTCCACTCTGAGTAGCTTGCTCTTTAAAGGCTACATGGACTGACTTTTTTCCTTAAAACGCAATTATCTTTGTTAGGGAGTTTTAAAATATAACTTTGACAGATTTATTTTGAAAGTTAAAAAACATGTTTAATGTGATTTTTCTCCTGTTAAAAGAGTGTTCTTAACTTTACCAATTACATGGCAAATTTACTCATAATATTTACTCCTTTCATTATATAGTGAAAATTCATCACATCTTACAGGTTCTTGAGAAATCTGCATTTAAAGTAGATAGCT